GTGCGCCTGGCCTCCGTCTCGGCCGTCCTCGTGCTCCACCTTGGATTTGGCCAGCTTCTCCTCTTGAACTTGTTTCGTTTCCGCCTTCTCCTCCGCCGAAGCCCGCGCTTCTTGTTTCGATTTCTTCTTAATCCCTTCGTCTCCCTCTCAGTTCCCGCCGGAGCTCGATTGTAGCTTCTCTCCAACCATCCCCGGATCCCGCCTCGGTTACACCTTGACTTGGTTTTTAAACCTTTTTTTGACTTTTGTTCTCTCAAAGGTTGCCACGCAGCCATACTCCAATTCCTCTCAACTCAAACTCGCACACACGCACATCTGCGGCAGCGGCTCCTGGACTCTGTTCCACTTTTATTTTTTTGCCCACACCAGGACAATTTCATTGCCTGAACCCAATTCCTCTCTTCGTTTCTCCTCTGCTATCCATTGAGCAACTACCGCAATCATGGGTGGCTTCTACATGCAGTACCTGGAGAGTAAGTTGATCAATTGAACCTCTCGTGTGTTTTGTTTACTTCAAACCCAATGGCTACCGACATCCCCGAAATCTCGTGTGGGGGTGGCGTATGAGATTTGGGGGGGAGGGGGGGAATAAATCAAAGCCCTGCGCGCGCGGCCACCACGGCGACCTTGGCAGCTCAGAGGGCTGATTGAGAAGGGAGCGAGCATGTTCAATTGCTTTCTGCCGCCCAATCGAACTCTTACCGCCGTTTACATTCCGTGAATTGGTTTGACGCAGGCACATGATTACACCCTTCCGCGCCTGTCCCCCCCTCTCCTGCTCAATCGCACCGCTGGTTCATGCAGGGATCCTTCAGAGCTGCAAGAAGCCGGTCGAATGAGGTTCCTATGGCAGCATGTTTCTGGCGAGTTGCCGTGATCTGTGTTTTCTGCCGCATCTTACATTGCCTTGGCAGCTGACGGCTGTGACTTTATTTTTGTGTCTCTTTTTCTTTACAACTCTTGAGGAGGCGGAAAGACTAACCGATGGGTGTAATTGATAGGCCTCTGCCGGCGCCGAGGATGGACAGACCCCTCGTACGAGTGTTACCGTGACCCCAATGGCTTTACTTGCCTTGTCCTAGTCAACGGACGCGAGTACCAGACCGACCTGGCATACGAGTCCGACCTGTTGGCTCAAGAGAACGCTGCCATGCGCGCCTTCATGGTTTGCCGCAACTTTTCCGTCAACGGCGGCATGCTTGCTCGCAACGGAATTGTCCAGGGACTTCCGGCCAATGCTGATACCCGACGCAAGAGCCGCCCTACATCGTCCAGGGACAGCAATGAGCGTCACGGCCGCCGCTCCGGCACTCACTCGAGCAGCAGTTCCACTGCTTCATTCGAATAAGCCAGACGCTGATCCCTGGAACGGATTCGGAGTTTTAGGGTTGCTGATTTACCCGCATTTTTTCTCTCTTTCATATTTCCCCCTTGGTTTTGGCTTGGACCTTCACAGGCAGCCATGGCGCACATATACACGTGGTTGAAAGGCTTCACGGCAGTCCCTTTTGAGGATATAACCACCATCGCGCCAACCTTGCTTTATCAATTTCATGGCGGCTATTATTTTCCTTTTCACAAAAAATAAACAAGGGTTGAGCAAGCGAAGAGTTTAAAAAAAAAAGAAGAAGGTACGGAAAAAAAGCGCGTACGAAAAGACTTGGCGATAAAGTGGCATTCTTGTGGATGCAAAATGTTGCAACGACTTTTATGACGACACGAAACGACCTTTAGACACGTCTCACACTTCTTTCGGCGGCTGGCATACCCAGCCCGGTCCTTTTGTTATCAACCTAGATGTTGACTTTGTTCTTTTTTTCTCGGCAATGTGTTTAGATTTTAGACGCATTGCAATCATGACATTGATGCTCACCTCCCCAACACCCTTGCCGCTCGTCTCAATTGACGAGTCAATCTTTTGGGTCTGTTGACCTATTGAACTTTGGCAAGAAACAAAAGTACATTTCTTCATTGCTATCTCTCGGAAGGGGGTTTTTTGCAGGCAGAACAGCCTGGCTTGGGCGGTTCTTGATACTGTTTGACGATATACCCTGTCCATCCTTTAGTTACAGGGCATCGAAAGCCCTCGATCACTCAACATAGAGGCCAAGTGTTTCTTCATCTTGCCTTGAAGTTTATGAATGTTTCTTGCGATAAGACAAAGTACCTCGTTTTGCACAGGGGCAGTCGTGCCTTTCGCAAGGACGGCTCCTTGACTTTCCTTTTAGGCGTCTCGCAGCAAGCGAAGCGGGCAATGCCTTTTTTTTCTTTCGTTTTTTTATTATATCTCTTCATTTTTATGATTTTCGCTGTAATTGCCCCCTTTTTTTGAGGCAATTGGGAGGATCTTTTCTCACGAGCCAATGCTTGCGGTTACGGAATGTTCTGCATTTATGATGTCGAGACGCAGATGAAAGCAAAAACGAAGAGAGGGACGAGATGAATTAACTGGATGATACGAAGCAATGACGGATCCGAATGCAGGTTTGGAATATTAAAAAAATGATTTGAAGAGGAGAAAAAAAAAGAGTTTACGGTAACGATGACATGAAGATGATGACTATTATGTTTCATTTTTAAGATATTTTGTCTTGGATGGTTGTGGTGCGACGCAAGATGTGATGTAGATTTGGAGAATCGTGAATATATGTGAATATTTCACTGGCCCGTTCATGATTGCTACTGAGACGATGCATAGTTGCTCTAATGGTGGAAGATGTTATCCGTGGCAGAAGGTATTATTGGTGGTTGTCTCCTGTGGTGAGATGTAAGATGATTTGGTGAGAGATTTATGGTGTGTCATGGCATGCCTGTCTATATCCAGATAAACCCGGTAGTCTCCAAATGACGATCATCATACAGGATGACTAGCTTTCGAATCGGGCTTACAATCTTAAAATTACCAGTTGAAGAGTTGAAGATTCTCTCTACATTTACAGCCCCCAACTCCCCTAAGAAAAGAGTCGACCGCTTGAGCCGGCCTAGTTAGCCACACATGGTAGAACGTGCTACGTAATGTGGCATAAGATAGCTCCAGGAACAGAAACGACTAGGATGCGACGATGAAGCCACACAAGAAAAAAAACGATCCTAGCGGGGGGGTCTTTGTTACTTGTAGGATTTTACGAGGCTCAACTAGGCTGAAAAAGAAGAAGAAACTCCACATGAATGGGGGTTTTGCTTGGACAAGAAATAACGAGAGCGAGAGAATTATAATCCTTGTTGATGGGAGATGAAACGTGCACACGGGATGGTTTTATGTTTTTGTTTTGTCTTGTTTCGGGTGGTCTGTGAGATTAGCGAAGGGTTGTTTTGTACGAGGAATATGGGCGGGATTGAGTCTTTTGATGATGTGACAGTTTACGATGGGATACGATGGGATACGATGGGATGGGGGGCTGTGTAGTGGATTGAGCTTATGAGAGCTGTGTTGATTGCATCTTTAGAGACATTGGGAAGAAGAGGAGATGAAAAGATCAAGAGAGTCATAATGTCAAGATTTGAGTCGATGAGATCAATTGATTATGCGTACAACGTTGCAGGGCTGATGTAATTAACACGGACGCCAGGAGAGAGCAGCGATGGATGCGTGCTTTAAAAGAGACGGGACAAGAAATAGGGGGTAAAATCACGGTGCTGACCGGCCGGTTTGAGTGGCGCCACGAATGAGGCAGTCGCCGGGCTGACGGGGTTCGTGTTTATTTGTGGCATTGAGCGATTATACGAAGTATTGAATATTGGATGGGAATTAAGGTAGATGAATGGGAAGAGAGAAATTTCTTGCTTGGCTGTTTGCGTTGTGTGGGTTTGAGACTATTGGGATGCTGGCGTGATGGGGGTTTCCGCCGGATGCGGACATGAATCGCCAGGACACGATGTGATGGGATGCGATGCGATACGGACGAGGTCGTGTTGCTGCGTGCGCATGATTGCGGGTGATTGTTTGTTTGCAGGGTTCTGTGTATGTCGAATCTGCATCTGGTACGAGTATGGATTTGATGTGAGACAAGAGATGCGAAATGTCGCACTCCATCGCTGACACTTATACGCCTGCTAGGTACCTTGCCTGCTAATATGTCTGTCTGTGTATCTACAACTAGTGTATACAAACAATGGATCTTGTAAGCACCGATGACACGAGGAATTTAGATGAGCAGCGTGATAAAAGATATAGTATAGATATTATACGAAGAGTTGACAGAATTGATTGCATGATGATACGGATCGTTACGGGTGTTGTGCAGGTTCACGGGCCGCCCAAATTTCGCCTCCAGCTTTCGTCAAGCCGCGTGGGAAATTTTTCATGCTCAGGCCTGTCACGCTGATTGGCCACGCCGTCTTTGGGTCTTTGGGTCTTTGGGGGGACCCTGGACGGAAGTGATCACAGGCCCCCGCACTGCCTCGTCCTGACGCTTCGTGTTCAATCTCTTGGTTCCATTCGATAATTTACAGCACCGAGGATTGGCAGCTAGTAGGCAGAGCTTCAGCAGCTGTTGCGCCAATGGGCTGGGAATTTGGGAGCGGGAACAGGGCCTAGTCTTAGTACTAGCACGGCTGATGTGGTGGTTGATTTGCTGGGAGGCGCTTTCAGGCTTTTTCAGGGGACGCCGAGCCCTGTACGAGTTCCATGAGATGCCGCTAAGCCCAGCGCGTGAAATTAAGTCGGGACAAACGCATTGCTTCTCCGGAGCGGCAGTACTTGGGGCTCCGTGCTAATCTGGTGTACTGGCTTCGTGACATCTGGACACCTTGAGCCCCAAATACATGGCAATTTCCTCTCTCCTTTCTCTACTCTCATCCTCCCGCAAACCCACAACCTTTTGCCTCTTGAGCCGACTTTGATTCTCTCTGCTTTGCGAGCATTGCACTGTCGCTCGTTCTTCTCCACGCTCACTACTCCAATATACTAGTTGTCTTTACTTAACCTTGCCTTCTTGCTCCTCTTCTTAACCCCCCTTTTTCTTAAACCTGCACATCAAGCATCGTCGCAGACATTCACCATGAAGGGTATGATGACGCGCCTCTCACCGCGATCTCAAATCAATCCAATGGCAAGGCTAGCTGACTGACATTCTTCCCCTTGCGCAGGACTTATTCTTGTCGGTGGCTTTGGCACTCGCCTTCGCCCTCTCGTACGTTCCACGCCAGCGATCCGACCTGCATCCCACCACCGCACTCGAACGCGAATGGGAGGGGGGATGGAGGGGGGAAACCGCCGGAAACCGCAGCTTCACACACCCCAGAGACTGACCATTGTGCGACGCCATCTAGACCCTGACGCTCCCCAAGCCTCTCGTTGAGTTCTGCAACAAGCCCATGATTGTGCACCAGATCGAGGCTCTCGTCGCCGCTGGCGTCACCGACATTGTCCTCGCCGTCAACTACCGCCCAGAGATTATGGAAAAGTTCCTGGCCGAGGTGAGTCCTGCCCACATGACCCCTCACTGCAACGCAACCCTTGCCTTGTTTTATTTATTTTTTCGCCTGCGATTTGTTGCACCAAGCTTTTGCCCCTCCAGCTGAGCTTCCCCCTCCAATGACGTTGAGCATGAAGCTGATTGCGTACGCCCCATCGTTAGTACGAGGCGAAATACAACATCAACATTGAGTTTTCTGTGGAGTCGGAGCCCCTCGACACTGGCGGCCCCCTCAAGCTTGCTGAGGGCATCCTCGCCAAGGACGACTCCCCCTTCTTCGTCCTCAACTCGGACGTCATCTGCGACTATCCCTTCAAGGAGCTCCTCGAGTACCACAAGAGCCACGGCGACGAGGGTACCATTGTGGTCACCAAAGTGGAGGAGCCGTCCAAGTACGGCGTCGTTGTCCACAAGCCCAACCACCCATCTCGCATCGACCGCTTCGTCGAGAAGCCCGTCGAGTTCGTCGGCAACCGCATCAACGCCGGCATGTACATCTTCAACACCTCCGTCCTGAAGCGCATCGAGCTTCGCCCCACATCCATCGAGAAGGAGACCTTCCCCGCCATGGTTGCCGACAACCAGCTGCACTCTTTCGACCTCGAGGGCTTCTGGATGGACGTTGGTCAGCCCAAGGACTTCCTTAGCGGCACCTGCCTGTACCTGTCCTCTCTCACCAAGAAGGGCAGCAAGGAGCTCACCCCCCCTACTGAATCCTACGTCCACGGTGGCAACGTCCTGATTCACCCCTCTGCCAAGATTGGAAAGAACTGCAGAATAGGCCCCAACGTCACCATTGGCCCAGACGTCGTCGTCGGTGACGGTGTTCGTCTGCAGCGATGTGTGCTCCTGAGCGCCTCCAAGGTCAAGGACCACGCATGGGTCAAGTCGACGATTGTTGGCTGGAACAGCACCGTCGGCCGCTGGGCCCGTCTGGAGAACGTGACTGTTCTCGGTGACGATGTGACCATTGGCGACGAGATCTACGTCAACGGTGGTAGCGTGCTGCCTCATAAGTCCATCAAGGCCAACGTGGACGTTCCCGCCATCATCATGTGATTTAATTCATTTAATCACGTCTTCTCGGCTCGCATGTTATATAATCATGCGTTGCTTTTCACACTGATTCTTTCATGTTGATTCATGCTTTTTTTAAACAACTTCTTCACTTCTATTCTTTTTTTGATCTCTTTTTTTTCTTGACCCATTTACGCCCCCATACATTCACCACTCCTCCAACATTTCTCAAAAGATACCCTGACGGTGGGGGGAAACAGTCTTTGAGAGAAAAACCAAGCAACATTTTATATAATTACTACTAGTCCCGGCATCCTTTGCTCTTCTTTTTTTTTTGGCAGGATGTCTGCGCGTTTATGTTGAGCTCCAAGTAAATCGTTTGGCGTCTCGGGGAACCGGTTGGCAAAGCATCTTGGAGGGACACGAAGGGGAGGGGAAAGGGGCGGTGGCTGAGAAGAGCTATGACGGACGAGGAACTGAAAACTTTACATGTATGAAAAGATGATAGCGTAGCGAATGAAGTGAATTTACGCTTGAGCTAGTCATTTAGCCAAATATTCTTGTTCTCCCTGGATGCGCCGTTTGGTGAGCTGTCTACGGGTACCTGGATTTTACAGGGCCTGATACAGGCACCAGTGATGCCACGAACGACTTCTGCAATCTGATTCTCTACAAGGTACCAGACATTTGTCAATGGTTTCATCTTTTGCTCAGCATCGAACTCGCATCCTCCCACGACGCAATGCTAACCAAGTCGTCAAGGCGGGAGCGCAATCGATGGCTTATCCCCTAGGCTGGATCCCCATCCAAAGGGCAGCTGCCCAGCAAGTTCTTTCGCCCTTCTGCAACACTCGTTTATCTGAATGAAGACAAAATTCAAGTAGAAGAGGGGGGGAATGTAGATCTTTCTTCTTCTTCTTTTTTTTTATTTCTCTGTGTCTTTTCTCTCTGTGCGTGCGTCTCTTATTTTGTGTCTTCACGGCGATCCTCATCGTCAAAACAGTCGTTTCCTTTGCAAAATTTGTCGTGTCCTTTTGAGTCAATCCCCGGGCTTCTGTCCTACCCTTCATCACCCTGGCGGATGCCACGATGTATGATCCAAAGTGAGTCGATATGAGCACTGATACTGGAACGACGCTTCATGACTGACACATATCAGCAAACTACCTGAATATCCTGTCCCGGTTCCGCATGTCAACTATTCTGCTCCCGGAGTTGTGGTTTCCCTACCTCACGACGTTGCCATCTCTCTTGTCATCGTTGGCCAAAAGCGTCCACGCGAGGAGTCGGACTCGAATGGTGTGGCAGAGCCTGATTCGAAGCGCCCTGCGATTTCTATGGGGCTGGGTGATGTGAACTCCCACGACATTGATATGAGTGCGATTGTAAGCTGGCCCAAATCATTTGAAACGGCTCTGTACACTTGTCTTGATAACACAAACAAACAGAATATCCGTATATGTCCCCCTGGAAATTTCTGTTCAACTTCTCTCGGCAAGTTCCACGTGGTTGATCCCCTCTCGCCGGATGTATGGGGTATATTTGGTCCGGATGATGAGGATTTGGCGGCGCCACTTCGCTGGTCTCTCATCATTCACGATATTCAACCTGTCTCATGGGAGACCATACGCAGCGTTCACGCCGACTTGGGAAAACAGGCTTGGGGTGATTCGGTACGATATTAAGCAAACGGTTAATGGATGGCAATAGTGGAGACCTTGTGCCTTGAGTTGTCGAATTGCAGCTGGATTTCCATGTCTAAGAATCTCGATGTTCTATTCATCATGTTACGGGTTTCTATGCGATGCCTTTTAAAACAACACTTTCTATAGTGTAATACCAGGCTTCCATTAATCCCTTTCCATTCCCTTTCTCTTGTCAAATATTCCTCTCTCGCTCCGAGGCATCCATCTGCCGTGTTCAATGATTGTACTTACAGTCTCGCATCTGGGGATGCATCCTACAGGACTTTATATGTGATTCTTCATCTTGAAAAAGGGCAAGAGTTCCCGCTCCATCATCTGGCGCAGCTCACGCTGTTCCTCTGCGGTGGGAACCTTCAGGGTGCCATGTCGCCGGCGCCAGCTCTCGTCTGTCTCGCGTATCTCGGCGTCGGGATCCTGGCCCGTGGAATCAACAAACTGAAAGGTGCGGTACTCGCAATTCTTCCAGCTTGTGGCTGTATTCGTGCTGACGTCAGTTGACAATGATTCTCATCGTCTATTTTCCTCTTTCATCGCCCTTGAAAGCAAAGCAAGTGTTGGGGAGGGACTGCATCTTACGATATGTGTTGGTAATCCCGTGCCACTCCTCCGTCAAGAAGTGCAGAAACGCTCCGTGAGACACAACGGCAATGTGCGAATCGTCTCCCAGGCCGGTGGCAATCTCCCTCAGCGTTTTCCTCGCCTCTCTCGCTCTCGCCGCCAGCTTATCGAGCGCGGGCTCGAAATAGCTTCCCTCCCCCTTGACGTTCCATCCCTCGCGCATCCTGCTCAGGTCGGCCCTTTCGCCAAACTCGGCCGCCAGCTTGTCAATTGACGACCCGGTATCTGAGGGGGCGTCGGAGCACTCCTGGAGGGTGTCCAGCGCAATCACGGGGCCGAGCTCGTCGGTGCCAAAGGACTGGAGGCAGGTGTACAGCGTGCGGCGCATGCCCGAGGCGACCAGGCCGCGGAGCTTGTCGTGGTGAGGGAATGCGCTGCGTAGATGGGCGCATTGCTCGTTGCCGAGGGGCGTGAGGTCTGGGTCTGGCAGTTTTTCGTTTTCGACGCAGAGGTTGTGGTAGCCTTGGGCGTGGCGCACGAGATGGATCGTGGGAGCCATTGCGTTTTTTGTTGTTTGGTGTATATGAGAGATATATGTGTTGTGGATGATTTTCTTCAAAGCACAGAAGAAAAGAAAGGTGAATTGATCAAACTATGAGACTACTATATGAAGAATCTGAAAAAAAAAAGAAGGAAGGAAGGAAACAAAGAAATTCAAGTACATCGAATAAAGAGCAATGAGAAATAAAGGACCCAGTGACAAACAGCCAGCTAACAAAAAACACACCGTCATACACAGCCAAGACGAAAGAACCAACGTAATTGCTCGGCTCACCTACCACATTAAGCAATCCCGCCCAAATCCTCACATCCCGGATGACTCAAGAAGAAAAAAAAAAGGTTCCAGGTACCACAGCGGAGAGGGTCGCCCGGCGCCGAAAGGGGGGAGGCGAAAGCGACAAAAGAAAAACAAGGCCCCATCTTTTGACCTCCGGCTCCGGCGATGGGGAAAGCGAAATATACGATACGATACGACACTCCGTAAGGCGGCGGCCAAACGAAGATTTCTCTTGTTCCCGCATTTAGATGAAATTTAAAAGACAAAAAAAAAAAAAAAAAAAAAAAAAAGGTTCTCTTATATGCGCAAATGAGGTACGTCAAACCCTCCGGGCCTGGCGACCGTCCACCGTAGGCCATCAAAGGTGGAATGAAGCTCGAATATACGTCGGAGTTATTAGCAGATGCGGCTCCTGCCAGGATACAGATGCTCCAATTGGTGCCTGTGGCGTGGTCTTAGTTTCCCTGTGGCTGGCTGCGGTTGGTGTGAGGCCCCCCGTGTATGGATGAGTGGATAGAAGAGACGATGCTTGCTTTTGGGCACTGAGCGGCCTGGTCTGATATTGTTGCATTGACGGGTCATGCAGGATATACAACTACCTCGGAGCTCCGAGATGCTTCACATACGAAATATACGGGTACAACAACTGGGCTCAAAACGGCCTCAAGATGCGATCCAATGTGCTTCAAAAGAATGATGCCCATGTTTACATTTCGTAGAAAAGATAAAAGGTCATTCTGACAGGCTACGGAACATCCATGTTACATCACCTCCCGTCCAGTCCTCGTATAACGCCGCGTTACGGTATAAAACTCCCCTTTCTGTCACTTTTAACCCGCATCTCATGACAATTGCCGCCATTGTTTCCCTCGGTTCAAATTAGATGACAAAAATCAAAACTCAATAAGTGCTTCCTCCTTGATCGGCTGTTGCTGTTGGACGGGCTCATGTTGTGGTGCCGCGGGCATTGAGTACTGGGAATAACCAGCCCACTCAGGCGGAGGGGCAGGTGGCTGCTGCTGCTGCTGTGGCATAGGCACCTGGTAGGGTGATCCTTGCGGTAGTTCTTGTTGGAAGGGCTGCTGAGTCGGAGCAGACGGGGCCTGAGAATGAACAGGCATGTGGGGTGTTGCGTTGAGGGGTTGTGCGAGTTGAGCTGGAGTCTGTAGAGGAGTCGCTTGCGTCTGTGCCGACACTGACCCTCTATGATATGGCATGGGTGATTGGTTCAGGTTCGGATAAGGCGATTGGCTTGCGTCTGGCGCGGACCCGGGGGCGGATGGTCCGGTAGGAACGGCCTGTAGAGGCTGAGGGGTGTTGAAGTAGTATGAAGCGTTGGGGTCTGTTGAAGGCGACGTGGCTGTTTGATGTGAGTATTGTCTTCGGTCTTCCGGGTTTTCCTGCGGCTGCTGCTGTTGCTGCTGAAACTGCTCGGGGACTGATGGGGTCTGATTGTTCCAGCCATCGGCTGTCTGCAGCTGCTGTTGAGGCACATAAGGTCCAGAGGGGGCATCGGGTGCTGGCATGCCAGCGTACGGCGGATAAGGGGATTGCGGCATCGCGTGTTGAGGAGGCATTTGATACAGTTGATGGCCTTGTGGCGCATAGCCTGGCTGCTGCTGGTTTGTGTAGAAGCTTTCGGCACCCACAGAGTTGCTCGGAGCGTGAGAAGGTATTGAAGGGTAGGGTCCGGAAGATTGGCGAGGCAGTGGTAGGCTGTATCCACCAAGATTCTGCTGGCTATAAGCCTTTGATAACCGGTCTTCCAACATCCGGTCATAATATCTGACAACCGTGGACAGCTTGGCATGAAGGTCGAGGAGGGTATCTATTCGCCTTGTCAGCCACGGAAATCATGAGGTGGGATGTCGGGAATCATTACCATGCTTGCTCATCGTTTCGCCGTATGTTCGCGCAAGCTTGGGACGCAGCGACCCAATGCTATCATACAACTCCTGGATTTGCGGTTCTCGTAGGATAGTGCCCGGAGGCTGGGTCTGGAGCCGGTCGACCAGGGTGGCAAAGAGATTGATGTTCTCAGCTTCCACTGCCGTCAGTTCGTAGTCGTTCTTTGGCAGTGTAAAGGTGGTGGAGGAGGTGGCGGGTCCGGAGGTCTGTTCCTTGAGCGCGGCAGCATGTCTCTGCTTCTGCTCTTCCATATCTGCTAGGGAGGCGGCAATAGCAGCTTTTAGGTCGTCGTCTTCCTCTTCGGCTTGCTTGGTGGCTGATGAGTCTCCTCCACTCGTGCGAGGTCCGTTGGTGGTCACAGGGGGGGCCCTGCCTCTGGATGCATTGTTGACTTCTTCCAAACTCATCGCCAATGCCTTTTTAAGATCTTCATCGAACCCGTCGTCGACGCGCGCGTTTCGAGGTTGCATTAAAGATGTGCTGCGAGTTTTATGAGGGTACGTCGGTGTACGGTCGAGGGATGGGTTCGGTTCTTTGAACCCCTTGTTCGTGAGCTTAGCATAACACCCGTCGTCGACTCGCACAGGGGTAAGTATCCCGAGATGAGGCAGTGGGAGTGATTTGCTAGAACACTGCTGGTCAAAGCAGTTTCCGCAGTTTCGGCAATGGTGTTTTCGGTTGGTAAACGTGAACGCTGTTCGACATCGCATACAAACATCCGAATCAATCCATTCGGGCGGCTATTTGACCTTTCGTTAGCTGACAGCCCTACAGAAATTGTGCCTGAAGTGCCGGTGGCTTTCTTACCGCGCTGCTGTCAATCATGCTGCTCGCCACCGTCACCCGCGGGGGGAACTGATACCCCTCTCGCTGCAAACGTTTATAGACTTCGCCGATGTAGGAAAGCTCGTATCGTCCTTCTGTGGCACCGGCCCATGACTGGATCAGCTCGAGCATCTTGGATTTCACTTCGGCGTTGACGGCGACGGGGCCGACGGCTTGGAGAAGAGAGGTCAGGTTGTCCATGAACTCGCGAGAGGCGATTTCCGTGAGGAAATGAGACCCGCCATTCTTGACGCACGTATCCGTAAGCTAGAGATGGAGAGCAGTGTTAGGCTAGGCTTCGACCCAAACTCGAGGGAGGAAATGGTGGAACAGGGCATGTCGGATAGCATACGTTGAGGGCGCTCAGCTGAGTGTTTGGATTCTTGTTGCCGATGCGCCGTTTCAGCGACCGCATGGCCTCTTTGGGCGCGACCGTCTTGGACCTGATGACATCGGAGATCTCGAGGTTGAGCGCAATATCCTCCCTACACGACCCGTCGTTAGTCCGGCTTCGTTACGGGAGCGGCTGGGGATCAGCGTACAGGCTGCTGCTCGTGGCTTTTTCGACCTGCTCGTCCAGAGCCGCGTTGGCCGAGTTTGACCACCAGCTCATCATGTTGACGGCGGCGATGGGGGAGGGAGCTTGGCGGGCACAGGGGAGGAGAACAAGGGGGAGATTTGAAATGGAAATGGAGATGCGACGCAGAAAAGAAAAGAAAAAGAAAAAGAAAACCGAAGAGCTCGGGGGATGGGCGATGGTGATGGAGCAGCTGAAGGTGAGGCTATGAAGTCCAGTCCAGTCCGTCCTAGCCAAGTCCAGGTCCAGGTCAAGGTACTTTCGGCTCCGCTGACGACGCCGTCAGTTGTTGCGTCACGGCCGCGGAGGCACCAGCCGGATCAGTGGTTAATCCGCTACAGGCGCCGAGGGAGAACTAGACCAAGCCGTTCCTGTACCTGTAATAACTGTAATTAAGGTACACTTTGTGCATTACTGCCGGAACATTATGGATTGATTGATTGATCAACTGCATGCAGATGCACGCTGGGATTATGGAGTCTTTATGTTCCCCTGGTTCTTTGTTTGGGGGCTCTCTTTGAGGTTTCCGTTTCTCTCTCCCTACAAGCATCGGTATGCCGGAGTATATTTAGTAACATCCACAGTCGGCTCTCGGTGTTTCCATTGTCATCTGCCTTGAGCCTTGACTTTGTACTGACTTTGCCAGGCAGAAATCCGCTCCTCATGGGCTATTATGCCTCGTCTCAGAGCGGCAAGAGCCGAATGCTGCACGCAGTTCTGTTTTCTAAGCTGTTGCAACGCCTTGTAAGAGGTATTCAAGGTGTTACTAAGATTTTTACCCAACTCAAACTTGCCCACCAGCGTAGGTAGCGTATAAGATGGATTTATCATGTATCAAACACGGTAAATAAACAGATGGCTACAAAGATTTATGTGATACTATTTTTACTGTAATAGTGTTGGAGGGTGCATTCTGCTTCACCAACAAGGTAGTGAATGAACCGTGCTGCGATGACGTAGCGCTGCGAGATACGAAATAGCCCACTTGGACAATGGAACAGAGCTTCTGAATGAGGTATCGTGGCGGTGAGAGGCAAATTAAACACGGCGACACCGGCGTGCGGTTGAACGCTGCAGCTCAAATAGCAGAAACAAAAGAATGAACGAGTGAGAGGGCTTTGATATACCAAAAGCTTACCCATGTACTTCTTTAGTCGTGCTTGTTGTGTGTTGTGTCAGTGCTCCTTCGAGTATCAGGCAATCAGGGTTCAAAAGTTCAATTGTGAGAGCGCGTCAGCCAAGCCAATGACGACGCCCGGCTGTGGCTGATGCGTGTGCAATTTGGCGGCGCCGTCTCGAGGTACCTGGAGACAGTTGCGGCATAGGCTGGAGATGCTTCCCAGTACAGAGGTCCATGTGGAGGCTACTTGCACCTCCACTATCATAGGGTGGGATATAAAGTACCCAGAGAAAAAATAAACGTGCTTTATACCCCACGTACGTGTGCTAATCCGCCCACGCTTGTACCCTGTGCAGCCTGGTAATTAATTTAGTACCTAAGTAGAGGCCTAGAAGTGGTGCAGCCCCCAATAGGCCAAGTCCCCAAACCGAGTCGCCAAAGCAGCTGACCACTCTATCGCCTTTGTTGACAGCTTCACTCTCCATTTCCCACGCACAAGACCAGGCCCGTCCGTCCTTTGGCCTGCGTACAACTGATTCCCGCCTCTCCACAAACAACGACGCTCGAGATCCCGACTCTGGAACCCCCCGGTCATACGAGAATGCTTTGTGCTGCCACAGCCCCTCCTCAGGGCCCCCGAAAGCCGCTGTCATAGGAAGCACGCCTTTGTCCCGCCTCTCAAATGCTTGTCTCCCTGAGATGACAAGGTCAGACCTCGCATCAGATCCGATCCGTGCGCCCCATTGACGCCTGTCCCTTCCACGCAACCGGCGACATCACCGCTGAAGCGCCGCACAGCCAACGACGCTGGGCGCCAACCACCACCGACCTCATATCCAGCCTCTCCCGACATCGATGACAACGGCAGACCCTATTGATAGCGCGAGGCACCACATGGCCGTGAATGCCAGGCACAGCATGCCGCCTTCGGGCTACGATGGCATGAATGGCGGCTATGCCCCTCCCCCAGGCGCAACCGCGCCGCTTCCTCACATCGAGGATATGGTGGCCTTTCCCCAGGACATCAACCGAAACCAAACGATGAAGTATCTACTCGAGCAGGCCGAAACAACACTGGCAAAATCTGAAATGGGCCGTGAATTTGGGAAACCTGCCCTTGCCTTCAGAGACTACGTCAAGGCCTCGGTCATTGCCGTGCAGATCATACCCTCTCACCGTGAATATGTAGAACTAAAAAGCCGTCGCGACGACTGGAATCGAAGGCACCAGACTCTTTTGAAAAAGATATCCCAGCAAAGTGACATATACGAACAAATCAAGCGGGATATCATTGCGGACAATGAGAGGACTGGTGTACGACCAACCGTTGCCTCCTCGGCTCAGCAAAAAGCCACCGCAAATACCATATCATCACAGAGCTCCTCGATTCTGGATGCGAGTCCAGAAACACGGCAACCTGTCAACGGACAGCAGCCCGAGTCTCGTACAAACGGCTCACCGGGGAGAGTCAAGCCTACTGTGCACCCCAAGCCTCAATCTTTGGCTGGCCATGCCATCAAGCCCGGGCATACCCGTGCCGCCTCCGCTGCCTCGGCCATCTCCTCGACTCAAGCCATGTCGGATCTTGCGGCACGATTTGCTAACCTACGAGGACCTCAGCCTTCGCCGGGGCAAGATCCTCGCATAAAAACCCACCAGATTGTCCCGCCGCCAAGCAAACCTGCCGGGCCCCGAGATATGCCACCGCCACGCCCTAAAATATCATTAGATAGCGCAATCCCGTCACTGCCGAAGATGCCTGATGCCATCTACAGTCCTGCGCGAGGTAGCATCTCTGGAGAGTCCGCTCGTCTTCCGCCCAGCACGCCGCGAGGCCCTTACAGCCGTGCCGGTTCGATTGTATCCGTTGGCAGCGCGACAACCACTCCCTTACCGCAGCAGCAGCCAAGTAATGACTATTTTTCAACCCAATCGCAATCACAAAGTCATTCTAAAAACGGAAACGTCGATACCCCATACCCCCCGGAGAGTGGTTTCAAGATTCCGGAAGGGGATAGAATTACACCTGAAGAGCTCTTTGAAGCCATGAAAGCAAAGGGTTCTATTTTAATCATAGACGTCCGTGCTCGCGAGGACTTTGATGAGGGTCACATCATGTCCTCCTCCACAATATGCATTGACCCTAGCATACTGTCTAGGCCGAATATTTCTGCCGATGAAATCGCTGAGAGCCTGGTTCTGTCCCCAAATCAGGAGCAGATCCAGTTTGAAAGACGAGCCAGTTACGATTTGGTGGTATTTTATGATCAGTACTCAGAAAAGATCCCCTCTTTCTGGAATACCGAAGAAGCTGCTCTTTTGTCCCTACATCGCGCCTTGGTACACCTCAGCTACGGACACGAGCTGCGAAATTCCCCAAAGCTGCTCAAAGGCGGGTTGGACGCATGGGTCGATCTTATGGGCTCTGCTTCCCTGCAGTCGACGGCTCCGCCCAAACCCAAGAAGATTTCATTAGTCCGACAGGGTCCATTCCAGCGGCGGCCGTCTCAATATCTGGGAAAGCCACTGAGGCCGGACATTGTCAAAGTCTGGCAACAGGCTGTAGAGATTGAAGAAAAGGAGACTGAGACGGCGACGGAGCAGGCCTTCCACCGCTCAACGGAGTCTTTCTTGCGGAGGTTTCCTTCTTTGTCTCTGCAGGAGTCAATGACTTCACCGGCCATTGTTGAACAAAGGACCCCGGGCTACGGCTCGTCTCACCAGGTTGACCTCTATACCGACCTGCCTTCTCCTCCCACAAGACCAGCTCCGGCATTGCCACGATTAAGTTACAGCAGTCTATCTCAAACGGTCGAAGAACATGACATGTACGACGAACCAGCTCCGACACCGCCCGCGCCGCCACCTTCTGAGAAGGTCTTTTACACCGGCCTAAACAACCCTCACAATTGGTGTTATGCAAACAGTACTCTACAGTCATTATTGGCGTCGCCCAATTTTGGGAGAGAGTTGAGCAATTCAGAATGGGTTGAGAGATACCAGGCCCCAAGAAAGGACGATGAGAAGATCGACCAGCCCCAGCTGATGATTAAAATAATATCAAATCTGTTCCATTGGATGACGACGGGAAAGTTCAAAACCATGAAGGCTCAGACGCTAATGGTATGCCATGCTGCTTCCTCTTTCGTAGCCATTCGTTCAACCCAAGTGCATTGCTGACCACATTCTTTTTTCTTAGGACTATTCCCTCCATCTTTGCCAGCACAGTCAAACCATCTCCAAGTTTGGTGGCAATGGGCAACAGGACGCTCAAGAATTCATGTCCTTTTTATTAGACTACCTCCACGATGAAACCAATTCTCGCCGGAACCTCAAAGGCAACATCTCACAGCCAGGCACGATTCCTCAGGCACGCCTGCAGGCCGCTGTTGAGTATTGGAAGAATTACCAAGAGCTAAACCGATCCATCGTTGATCGCTACTGGCGTGGTCTTGAGCTCTCAACAGTTGACTGCCAACGATGCCATAAGCAGACACACACATTCTCGACGTTTGACTTGGTTTTCGCGCCAGTCGGCAAGAATCAAGACATTACTCTCGAGGACTCGTTTCGAGAGCACAACGTTGTCAACACGCTCGACAACTTTGCATGCGACACGTGCAAGAGAAACACAAAGGCCATGCAAACCACCTGCTTTGCCCGCATGCCTCCCTTGCTGTGCCTGAGCTTCCGCAGGTTTGACTTTGACAAATCTGTCGGAGACATTAAGAAATCGACGAGAAAGGTCACTTGGGACTTTAACGAGATCGACCTCACTCCGTATTTTATGCGGACGGGCGAAAACTCGAGCGACAGGGCGTTTTCGGGGCCGTTCAAGTATCAGTGCTACGCCGTCATCGTTCACAGTGGCAGCAAGACCGACAACGGACACTACTACGCCTACGTGCGGGACTCGAGCACTCATGACCAGTATGCGTGGTACCGCTGCGAAGACAGCCAGGTCACCAAGGTGCGGATCGGCACCAACGATGCCACCGACTATAAGGAGAATGTGTTTAGGTCCGGGCGAGACACGGTTCCTTACCTGGCCTTTTTCAGGAGGAAAGATAGCTGAATGGGGAGAGATTCAGCGATAGTTGTCTTCTCTTCTCCTCTCGACTCCCGCCTTTACAACGCATAAACATGACGAAACAAGTCAATAACTATAGGAAGAGCAAATAGAAGGGAGAAGGAGAAGATGTAAATTTGTACATTTGTTTTTTTTTTTTCTCTCTTCAGTGTACTTTGGCGTGCATTGTTTCTTTTTTTTTCTTTCTTTTTTTTTCTCTACCAATATCCCATCGCGCATGTAAAGAGCCATTTCTTTGTTTGTTATATTACTTGTCTCAGCCTGTACGTCTGTGTGTGTTGCACTTTTTTTCCCCTTTTCTTACTTCTTCTCTTGTTGGTTCTTGTATGTTTTAGCAACCTTGGGATTTTTCGGTAGGCGAAAGCATGGCAATGGAGTTTTTTACGCTGGAGCACGACGCTTGGCTCTCTTTCCCCCGTTAATATCATATACATATACTATATTGTAACTGTATTAAACCAGCGTTGTCAATACCAGCGACAAGCATAATTACTGTCATCTTTTGTATCCCTCCAGTTTCAATTCAATAGTGTAAGAATAGATATTTACATCTACCACGGACGAATTTCCATCTTTGCAGTCGACCAAATCATCCACAAACAAACAGAATGAGCAAGAGGAAACAAGCAGCATTAGAGATCAATAAAAAAGTGGTATAAAATGTCATTAATTAAGCCCACGCCCCAAGAGCAGTACAAAAGAGGCAAATTAAATCACGTCGTGCTACATGGCCTGAATCACAACGGGCGGTATCAGGTATCATCATCATCCCACCACCCTTCTTCATTCCCATTTACACCAAGCCACACACCCTTCATCACACCCATCTCTTGGCCTCTTCTCGCCATCTTCAGCACAAAGAAAAAATCAAGGGTTAAAAAAGGATACAAAAGAATTGCGTCTGTGGAGAATGTATTTAAGGAGCGTGCTTCAAGCACTCGTCAATCTGCTTCTTGAAAGCCTCTCGGATGACTTTCCTGTTGAGCTTCTGAGTAGCAGTGACCAAGCCCTACAAAGAGAAGAAACAACTGTCAGCATACACACACAACTCAGCCGGTAGAGAATGCAAACTTACACTATCAGGGGTCCACTCCGCATCAGTAACAACAACACCGCCAATCGTCTCCAAACCAGTCAAGCCAGATCGCTTGGCGGTAAGCTGCAGATCCTTGAGAACTGCCGACTGGACCTTGGAGTCGTGGTGCATGCTGTGCTCGTCAACACCAAGCTCTGCCGCCTTGTCAGCCAGAACCTTCTCATTGGCCATGATGATGGCGATGGGGCGGTTGTGCTCCGGATCAGCGTGGATCATGACATTAGCAACCACCTGGGAACCTCGGTAAACAGCCTCCAGCTTCTCCAGGGCAATGTACTCGCCGCCCTGCATCTTCACAAGGTTCTTGACTCGATCAATGACGCGCAAGTGACCGTCGGCATCGAACTCGCCAATATCACCAGTCTTGAACCAACCATCGGCGGTGAGAGCCTTGGCAGTCTCTTCTGGGTTGTTGTAGTACTCCTTCATGATGGGTTTTCCCCTCATCCAAATCTCGCCCTGGGGAACCTTGGCATCGGTGGAGTATCCGATTTCGGGAATCGAAACGAGCTTCACTTCAATGGCACCAGAAACAGGGCCAATGGCGTTGGCAGTGTACTCGAGCGGGTTTCCCAGTGAGCCGTTGGCGCAGGTCTCGGTCAAGCCATAGCCAGTCAGCATGGGGGCGAGGACGAGGGACAGGAATTGCTTGGTGCTGTCTGAAATGCCACTGGCGCCGTTCATGGTGAAACGAAGCCGGCCTCCAGTCAGCTGGCGAACTTTGGTAAAGACGATGCTGTCGAAAACGCTGGCAAACGGAAGCTTGTTGCGCGACATGAAGCTCTTGTAGCTGAAGGCGCCCCAGAATAGCGACTTGAGAACGGGGCTAGAAGTTTCCAGCTTCGCCATGACTCCTTTCCTGACAGTCTCCCACACCTGGGGGACACCAACCATGACGGTTGGTCGCAGTTCCCGCATGTCACCCGCACAGTTCTTCATGGAATTATCAGAAAGAGTCCGGGGGTTTCCATATCCAAGGCAGCCACCAATGGACAAGACGAGGTTCTCAAGGGCCATTTCGAAGATGTGCGCAAGAGGAAGGTAGGCAAGGACAACCTCCTTGTCGCTAATGGTTTGGCCAACAGAGGCGAGGAGGCCCGTAACTAACATCAGAAGAGTCAGTATCAAATCATGCCGCGACGCAACAAGGCTACATACCTCCCGCAACAAGCGCCTCGTGGGTGATGCAGGCACCCTTGGGAAGACCGGTGGAACCAGAGGTGTACATGACGCAGAAGACGTCGGTTGGGTTGCCGGGGTTGGGCTCAACCATGTTCTCCTCGCCGAGCTTGCGGAGGTCCTCCCAGGTAAGGACGCGGATATCCGGGTTCTCTTTCTTGTAGGCTTCGATCTCGCCGCCGGCGGTGAAGATGCAGTCCTCGTTGACGATGACGGTCCTGACCTTTGATTTGCGGATGGGGCTAGCGGCCGTCTTGAGCAAGTGAGGGTCGACGTACATGGCCTCGGCATCGGTCTGGACGAGCGAGTGCTCGACGCCGCTCTCGCCGAGGGTGTCGTAGGCAGTGACGATGGAGATGGACTGGGAGGCACAGGCATGGGACATGGAGATCCAGTTGACACTACAAGACGAGAAGGGATTCATTGTCAGCGAATTTCACGCCCAGAAAGCATTGGCTACTGGAATTGCATCATGGCTTACCTGGTTGTGCCAAACAGGTGCAGCTTGTGAGAGTCGCCGTAGCCCAGCTTGCGCAGGCCGGAGCCCAGCTGCAGGACGAGCGTCTCGTACTCCTTGAAGGTCAAGAAGTCGAACTTGGACAGCTCAAAGTACTGCCACTCCTTGTCCACCTCGACAACCTGGCCATCGATGTTCTTGGGGACCTTCTTGACCTCCTTGTGCAGCTCAATGAGCCTCCGGTGACCGACGGCAAGGTGGTTGGGATACTCGCGGGCACTGCGGCGGACAATGTCGAAGACGGTGTGTACGTCATCGTGAGGAGTGGTGAGAAGGCCGTCCTTGGCTGCCGGGTGGCGACGCGGGATGGTCTCGCCAGGGACCTTTTCGTAGCCGGAAGCCTCGATGGTGAAGGGCGGCTTGCGCACCTGCGTCAAGGGCATGACGCCCACAGTCCAGTCCGTCGTCATCTTGGGGGGTTGGTGGTGATTGTTTGCTGCGACGATTGACGTGGAGGGAGGACGGGACAAGGGGAGGAGAAGAAGAGGAGAAGAGACAAGACGCGGAGGAGATTGCAGTAGGTAGAGCAGTCGAAAGGATAACTTTGCTCGTGCCGGGGGAGTTGCAGGGGGGAGGGGGGGAGGGTCCGGCTTTTGTCTGAGCAGCGGAAGCTTCCTGGCTGGCGGATCCAGAAGCTATAAGCAACGAGACACGCTTGACGGCGACGAACGACGAAGCGGGAGGATTCAGAACGAGGGAATCAAGACAGACGAGATGAATAAGAAATATGAAGGAGGAAAAGGGAGTTGGGACACGGTTGGGCAATGACGCAGCGCAGTGCAGTGCAGTCCAGGCAGATGCAGGGAGAGAGAGGGAGAAGGACAGCGAGCGAGCTTGGAGAGGCAAAAGCTGAGGCAAGGCTAACCCGAAAGCTTAGTGCAAGTTACGTCGAGTAGAGTAGAGTAGAGTAGCCGGGACTCGCACAGGCGACGCGGGGCGGCGTACCGGTCGGTACATGTACCTGTACCTGCTGCACCCAATCCAATTGTCACTTAGGGGAGGGGAGCTCTCCTCTACCGTACTGTAGCCACTGCCTGCAGGCCATCCATTCAATTCATCACAAACGATTGACTGCAGCGCCTAGCTCAAGGCAGCCAAGCTGCAACTTTCGAAAAGCTGCGCTACTGTGCCCATCAAAATTGCTCCAGCCCAACCCACCGGCCCCCTGCAAAAACCCGGCCCAGCCCAGCGCAACTTGATTTTTGCCGGGTCTGGCTGGTGGCGTTCTGGGGGAATTTTGTTGGGTCCCGACGCCTGCATGGGTTGTCTGACGCTACTGTACGGAGTACATGTACCTAGCTCGACTGCTCTGCTGGGCTCTGCTCTGCTCTGCTCTGCTCTGCTTTTGCCTCCCCTCGCCGCGATTTTTATGCCGTGGGGTCCGTTGACGTTGAGGTATCGGTACTTGTCTTTACCTGATCTTACCCATCAAGGGGAACTTCAATGATTGATATCAGTTTCCGAAGTCCAGGTACTATATAGTAACGGATACGGCACCTCGCTGTAGATACACGTGTAGACTTGTCCAGCCTCGTGTGCATTGCCAAGTCGACGCCCAGATTACGGGGTACTACTTTAAACAGTCCATTGATGATGATGCTAATGATGATGACATACTGCTGCTGAGGTGCAGTAGGACGGTTAACCAGGCAGTACCGTACCGTACCGTAACCGTAACCGTAACCGCGCCTAGGCACTCGTACCTATACCTTGCTCCTCCATGTACCCGTACCACTTGGTCCCAGCTCGTCGATCTGGCACCACCTTAAACAACGTGCTGTTGTTACTCATCAATACAAGAAAACAGCTCCCCCAGGTCGAACCTCAGCATTGCGAGCGAAATAGGATGATGCGAAGTGAGATTGTGTGACCGACAGCTTACAGGCACTCACTCCAACGGACGCATAAGCATCTCCAGCCCATCAGCAGCGACATCCAGCATCGGACCAACCTTGTTCTTGGTGACGCAGCAGCTCCCGGACACCCGAAACATGCGGACATGGCAATTCAGCCGTGTGCCGCGCCGTGCCGTTTTGCTAAACACCGAGCCTTCCATCAAACTTGCATCCAGACATCGTATTATTCCACTCCGTCATCTCCCTTTTTTCCCCCTGTTTCTTCTGGGCAACCGGCAACATGTGCCCGTTTTCCAGGGTAGGCATAAACGCTCACATGCTCTCCAAATGTACCCCAACAGTCTACCCGGGCAAAACGTACATACATACACATTTGCCGTCATATGACCGCGGCAGCTTAAAAACCTACCTACACATTCGATGCTAACCTCAAAACAACATCTCCAAGCCTTCCCCTTGGCGAAATCTGTACACCAAGACCACGTTACCTTCAGCCAAGTGGGCTGAGCACCTTGGCGAGGAGAATTACAGCCAACCAACCAACTAAAAAAAAAAAAAAACCAGCTCGCCACAGGTTGCAAATCGTACAGAACAACGTGGTCGAGGCTCATAGATCCCAGTGATCAGTAAACGCCACCCAAAATCCAAACTGCCATTCACGTCGATTCCCGAAATTCAGGGGGAAAAAAAGAGTGAAACGAAAAAGGCCAATCTTGTGACATTCGTTAGAAACCCAGCGAGTATTTTTTTTTTTTTTTCCAAAACAAAAGGGCCCTCATCGGAAATTACCTTTTCAGCAGAATACAGCCAACCATGTCCGTTCATGCATGGCGTCCACCCTCTAATAAAAATCCATACGAAATACTACTCTGCGAAGAAAAGAAAAAAAAGTAGATGCCGAGGCGGAAATCGTTCAGCTGAACTTTTTTTTGATGCTTCAACCGAGCTTCGTCTACTTTATATTTCCCATGTGCTGCTCTCTTCTCATGCATAATCACATCACCCATCTAAAATACCCTGCGATATCGCCAGTCCGATCGATACACTGGGATTTCATAAATCAGCGCACTAATGGTTCCTCATTATACTAATAATTCATCTGTTGAAAGCTTTACTATGGTAATACTGTTTCCCTCTCTCCCAAACGCCAGAAATCCTACCGAGGCCATTTCGGGGCCCATTCCTCCAAAAGCCTTCACATATGAAAAGTCGAGGACACGTCGGGCATAACCCCATTCCGCATGTACAGTATCAATGCATCTATTCAAAGCATGAGGAACCTAGTGCCGGCGTCTTCCCCATTCACCGCCGAACGCTTGATATCATCGAAGAAGAAAAAAACTGAACAAAGAATTGGTTTATAATCCAGCCAGACAGGGGTAAAAGGAACATGCTCCATGGGCAAGACGCCCTTCCAAAAGAAAAATCTAGCGCTGTGGCCTGAACCACTAAGCAAGCTGCAGAGGCTCAGTCTTCTCACACGTAAATAAGTTAATGTGGTGATCGCCTCGTGCCGCGCATCCCAGAATCGGGTGATGTGGGTGGAATGCTGTGGCAGAAATGGGAGACCCCCGGTTCTGTTGCAGGAAACTTGAGTAGGGCTCGAGTCGGGAAAGCTCGTTGCCGTTCAGGTTAAACACTTTGACGACATGCGCAGAGGTGCCCCTATAAACAATCACGTTAGCTACGATTCACTGTTTGGGAGTTGGGTATATGAGGAGACGCAAAACTGACACTGAAAATACTGGCAAATGCTCGTGGACGCTCGCCGTCCGTAGAGTGTCCCGAGTCGTCTGGTAGGAATGCAAGGCCTTGTCCATGCGAATATCCCACACCTTGATCTTGCCGTTGCGGCTGGCGCTCACTAGCTCTCGCTTTCCTCCTCGCTGCATGTGCACGCTCTTGATCCATTGGCGATCCGACTCGTCCTTCCACTTGCGTACCATGGATTCCTGCGGCTTCAGCCTCGTGTCAAAGACACGGACGGCACCGTCACCGAACCCGGCCACGAAGATGTTGCCCGTCATCTGGTCCGATGTGAGCGAGGTAACGCATGAGCCAGATCGGGCTGGAATGTCCATCGTGCACGTCTCATGCCCGGCAAACCACACCCGAATAACCCGAACATCGCCGGCAACCAGGACGCGTCCCGTCGCCTGCTGCCAGTCGAAAACCATTCCGGAATTGACGTTGCTGGGGACCATGTGTGTGAGTGCCCGCCAAGACGTGGCCAGCTCAATGTCCTGCTCCGAGTCGTAATTGCGATACACTCGAATTACGCCATCCGACGATCCCGTCATCAAAATGGCTTGGTCATCCTCATTGATGAATTTCATGTCGCTAATCTTGGAACCCTCTGGGTTGCCATTGGAGAATTTGTTCAAGCGTCCTTGTTTCTTCCAGTCCCAAACGTAGACTGTGTTGGCGTCATCTGCCACCGCCAAGTGGTCTTCGAACTGATGGAACGTCATCTTGGCAGGCTGTGCGCCGTTGTTTATGATGCCAAGCTGATTGTTCCACCGGTGAGCGCCGGCAATGTGCTTGAGTGGCTGCGTTTCTCTCATGATGGCTTCGTTCCTGGCCCTCCGCCATAATCTCTCATTGTAGTCGGTACTGCCAGGCTCATCCGCCTCGGTGTTCTTCATTTGGGGCTCACGGAAGTACTCGATGGACCACTCAAGGAACTTGCTCGTGAGTGGCAGGCTTGGCTCCTTGGTCAAGTCGCGTTCTTCATACGAGCCAGAAACAGGCTCGCGGGCGTTGTGGTACGTCGCCGAGGGGCCAGAGTAATCATTCTGTTCAGGAGGCGCAGAAACACGGTCCGGAGATACCTTTGACGAAGGCGACTTTGGCGGAAGCGGGCTGTTGGGAGTGGTAGGCCTAGACTTATCTTCGCCGGCGATGAAGGACTGGAAGAGAAGGCTAGCCGTTCGCCGAAGAAGACCAGGAGACTGCAATGGCTGGGGGCTGAGAGCGCCGTTAGTCCTCGGACCCAAAGAAGCCGTGCTTCTGCTGCGTGACGCCCTGTTTGCCCTTCTCTGGACCTCTCCCATCAAGGCATGAGCCGCCTCGCCGAGGTTAGAGTTTATCAAAGCGTTGTGGACGTAGTCAATAACCGTCGTAGCCTCCCGCTGCACCTCTGGATGGGGATCAACGCTCAGGATCAAGGCGTGCTTCCAAAACGCCATGTAGACCGTATTGTGAGAGAGCCCGTGAGCGGTTGGCTTGATGGTCCCGTCTCTCTGTCGGTTATCTGGTCTGGCATAGTGCAGGCCCATTTTGTGATCTTGTCCATCGTCTTGTGGGGGGAACACCAAATATTCCTTTTCCTCTTGGAGCTGCTCATAGGCTGCGACCAGAAACTTGCTCTCGAAGCGAATGATGAAATGAGACAAGAAAACCAAGAATTCCTTGCGTACAATCGGGCTGCCATCATTTCCCATGTCGAGAATTGTCCAAGCAATCGACTCCTCGATCCGCGCGACCTCTTCCGTCAGGTCGGGGATTCCGAGAAAAGTAGTGAGGGCGTGGATCATGGCCGCCCGCACTTCACA